GATTGGTGGCGGCTTACATTTATTTTGATTTGGGTCGTTAAAGGTAAAGGGGGGCAGCCAGGACATTATTCTGCTCTTTGGGTGCTGCATAAAGCAAACTCACCAGAGCCAGTCCTTTAGAACCCCACAGAGTTAAGTACTTAGTGGTATTGTTAAAGGGTTAAGCAGATAATTTGTGTGCTATCAGGCAAGTTTAGTTTGGCAGGACCCTTCTGAAAGCCAAGTTGATAAAGAGAAAATGGAAGGAACAGAATGCATTCCTGCAGAGTAGCAGGAAGCAGAATGCACCAGGCCCCAAATACAGTCTTTTACCTTTTGAAAAGAAACAATGTTTACATTTGTCTATGATCTTATATAGGTACTAGACTTTTTCCATGATGCCTGCTAAATTAAAAAAGATCCCCGTTTAACCATGTAGTTTCTAGTAAACAGGTTTTTTTCTTTCTCTTTTATTTTATTTATTTTGGGGGGGGCGTTGAGACAGGGTTTGTCTGTGTAATAGCTCTAGCTATCCTGGAACTAGCTCTTGTAGACCAGGCTGGCCTTGAACTCACAGAGATCCGCCCGCCTCTACCTCAAGAGTGCTGGGATTAAAGGCGTGCATCACCAGTTTCAGCTTTTTAAAAATTTGGCGTTAATGCTACAGTTCTCATGGAGTTTCCTGTAACCCTAACTGCTCGATGTTTTTAACTTTCGAAACCTTTTATCGTCATCATCATCATTGTTGCTGTTGTTGCTATTATTATTGTTGTTTATGTGTAGATCAGAGGACAGTTGTGGAGTTGATTCTCCCCTTTAATATTTATGTGGATTCCAGGGCTTGAATTTAGTCTTCAGGGTTTGCACGGCCAGGCTGTCACTGTCACCCTCAGGTGGTGAGTCATCTGATCGGCCCAGGAAGTGCTTTTAACTTGGTAAAATTTCAGAAGAAATTGTCCTGGGCTTTGAGATTCAGATCTTTAGGAAGTGTTATTTTGAAGCTCTTGATGGTTGCCTGAAACCTTTAGTTTCTCAGTATGTGGGAGACGCTCTCCTAAAGGAAAGTAAGTAGCCATTTGGGGTCGGATCCGCTGAATCATTCCTCCTGGTGTGTGTGGCCGCTGCCTTTATTCCATCAGCCCAAATGAATCATGGTTAGACCTGCTGTCAGCGGAGATGAAGATGTGTCATCCCGAGTGTCCCGGAAACCATGGCAACAGGTGGAGCTCATCATCCACTGATAGGAAGGGAGCAATGTCCGGGTTCGTGGTAAGATCTGCCACAGCAGCTCATACTGGAGAATAAAGAGATTGGAGTTTCATCTTGTGAGTCTGAGCCTTTGTCTACATGCACGTATGCACCCTGTGCATGTGCCTGGTGTCCGGGGATCAGAAGAGGACATTGGATCCTCTGGGGCTGGTGTTCCAGGTGGTTGTGAGCAGCCCTGTTGGAATTGGGTTCTCTGCTGTCTGTTAACCATTGAGCCAGGTCTCTAGCCCCAAGCACCTTTGTAAGACATACACATGATTTGGAGAACAGTAGTAAATGCTTGCTAAGACCGTGAAACTTAAGCTCTGTCAGCAGTACCTGTGAAGGACTCCGGGCTTTATACCATTCTTCACACAGAATCATTCATTCTCTTGTGACTGAGTTGAATCCTCTCATGGATCTATCCATTGTATTCCTCTCCCCCTCCCCCTTCCACTCCTTCCCTTCCTCCTTCCCTCCTCCCCTCCCTCTCTTCCTCCCTCCCTTCCCCTCCCTCCTTCCCTGCCTTCCTCTCTCTCCTTCACTTCCTCCCTCCCTCTCTCCCTCCCTCCCATACTCTTTCTATCTCTCTTTCCATTCCCCTCTCCCTCCCTCTGTTCCTCTCTCTTTCCCTCCCTCCCTCCTCCCCTCCCCCCTCTTTTTTGTCATCTTGTCTTACACAGGGTCTTTCAGGGTATGTGCTTAGGGTGGGATTCTTAAGTGGTAGGGCTGTAGGGTGTGTGTACGGCTTCTGTTTTGGTAAATCACACCACGTTGTCTTCCACCGCTACCACCATTTCTACTTTGGCTGGTAGTAGTGTGTGCGTGTTCACTGTTTACACACTAGTTCACATTCATGTTTGGTCTCCAAGGGTAGATCAGATTATCGAGTGTCTTAGACAGAGCATCTCACACTTGATTGTGTATGCAAATCACCAGGGATATTAGCAAAAGCACAGTTTCTGATTTCTGTCCCTCCCCCTACCTCCTCAGCAGGGTTTCATTACCAATCCCTGGCTGTCCTGGAGCTTACTCTGTAGACCAACTTGGCCTCAAAGTCAAAGAGATCTGCTGGCCTTTGCCTCCAGAGTGATGGGAATAGAGATGTGAGCCACCACGCCCTGCTTTTCTCTACTTGACGTCATCTGTGTCTGCGCCTGATTCTGGAGAATGAGGCAGGAGGATTACAAATTCAAGGTCTGTCCAGGCAACTAAGGGAGACTCTGCCTCAAAATGAAAAAGTAAAACCATCTGGGATGGTATCTCAGAGGGTGAATGCTTACACGGCTTGTCCGAAGCCCTGTGCTCAGTCCTCAGTGCCACAGAAAATAAAAACATTCAAACTGCACCTGAAACACAAACGGCGCAGAGCCCAGTCACTGTCCTGCTGCTGTGAAGGACGCCACGACCAAGGCAGCTCTCATAAAAAAGGCATTTAATGGTGGGCTTGCTCATATTCCAAAGGGTTAGTCCATTATTATCAGGGCAGGGAGCATGGCAGCACTCAGGCAGGTGTGGTGCTGGAGCAGCTGATCTGCAGGCAGCAGCAAAGAGACACACTGGCCTGACATGGGCCTTTGAAATCTCAAAGTTCATCCTCCCCACCCAGTGACACACCTCCTCAACAAGGCCAATCCTACCTCCTGACAGCTCATCAACTGGGGACTAAGCCTCCAGATCCAGGCGCCTATATGGGCCATTCTCGTTCAGACTACCAGAGCATATAAATTGTATATATACTGTGTTGTTCCGGGACCGATAACAAGGACAACCAGTAGTGCGTATTCAGCACAGGTACTTTTCCCCACTTTGGGACAGGCTCTCATGTAGCCCAGGCTAGCCTCGAACCCCGTGCCTCTGAGGATGAGTTTTAACTTTCAATTCTCCTGCTTCTACCTCTTTAGTGTTAGGATTGCATCGTGTGCCACCAAGTCCAGTTTCTGTGGAACTGAGCCTTAAACCTAGGCCATAGTGCACGTTTGGGCAAGGACGGTACCAGTGAGCTGTCTCACCAGCCCCTGGATGCATCCTTCTATAACTGGGCAAATTTGCAAGTGTGGAACAACCCTGGTAGACAGAGACCCTACTGAAGTACTTAATCCAGTCACTGCATTTCCTGGTGCAGCTCTGTAGGAAGTTAGTACCATAGCCCCCTGGGGAAGTTAGAAAGCATACAGGGCCCATCCATACATAGATATTCTAAATCAGGAGGCCTAGGGTCTTTGAGTCAACATCGTAATAATGTTCTGTATCAGCTCCCCACCTCCCACCCCTGTATTGAAGAGGGGGCAATGAAACAGATAAGCCAGACCCTCATCTCTTCCACCTCTTGTCATCCTTTGGGTTCAGTCACCCTACCCCAGGAGGAGACACCAAAGAACGCAAGTGCCATTGAGTCAGCCGTCCAGTCTAGCCTGGTAGGTGAGCTGTGCAGTAGGGTAGTGGGGCCATGCGTCCAGGATCAGAACCAGTGCCAGGCTCCCGACCTTGATTCTCCTGAAGTGTAAGGCCGCCCGAGTGTTCCTGAGGAACATCTGAGACACCTAGGCCCTCTGTGATAGACGCAGCCATGCGGTTACCGTGCAGTTGGGTGCTGCCTTGTCTGGTGGCACTGCCTGGGCTGGTGTCTACGCCCCTGTAGCCCAGTGCCAGTTGGTGACTCGCTACAATAGCTATCTGTGCTTCTTTTGAGATGCCAGTCACCAGCCAGCTTAGTCAGACCTGCTTGGGGAATGTAGACCACAGCAGACTTGGGCATGGTGGGGCGTTACTGGCTTTGCTTTGGTTGGCTTACAAAATGGAGCCTGAGTATTTATCATTCTTTTGAGTTATTTTCTAAATAATCAAAGAATATATTCTTAAGTAAATTTAATGATTTTTTTGTATGTGAGAATGATAGATGACTCTAAGCTAATTTTGTGGAATAAATGCCCTGTACTGTATTCAGGAAACCTATAAAATGCTTTTACAGCAAATGTCATCCTTGCCTCTTCATATTTGAATGAAAATTGTGTAGTAACTTATAAGTAAAGGACTATGGCTTATTACTTAATATTTACTCAGTATAATAGTATATACTTTCTATGTCTTTTATATTGTTACGTTTAAGTGGCTAAGAGAATTTATTTATTTTGGTGCCGAAACTCGGAGACAAGCACAGTTTAATTCTGAGTCCTTGCCATAGCGATCGGAGCCATCGCCTCTCTTCTCTGTTTGGTTTTGGTAGAAAGAGGTCTCTCTGTAGCCTAGACTGGTGTCTGTCTTTTCACAATCCTCTACCGTGGCCTCCTTTGTGCTGCAACCACGAGACTGTATACCACCTTGTCCCACAGACGCCATTACTTCATTCCATAAATATATCCACTGTAGAACTTCAAAGGCTGTCGAAGACCTCACATGGGCTTCCGTTACACGGAGCCTAAAAAATAAAAACACTTTTATCCAAGACAGCTTGCAAAACGTTTCTACATCTTGTTTGTTTTGTTTTTGAGGCAGGATCTCACCTTGTAGTCCTGGCATACTTGAAACTCAGTGTGTAGAGCAGGTTGGCTCTAACCTCACAGAGACCCGCCTGCCTCTGCCTCCTGAGTGCTATGGTTGGTTAAAGGTGTGCGCCACCACATCTGACTTCTGCACTGTATTTTTATTAAAAAAAAAAAGCACTTGTATGTCACAAAACTGATCAGTGTTCGACTCAGTATGACTCCTATGCGTGTTTGAAAATCAGATTAGTGCAGTTAATCTAAGTTTTAAATTTTATTTTTCCATTGCAGATTGAATCCCTCTCTAGAACTTCTGAATGTTTCTTACCAGTGGGAGCGTTTCCTGTACGGAAAAGCCAATGGCTTAACTTCGGGGAGTGCTGGGGCCGCGCTGGCTCTGCTCTGCCTCGGGGAACTTGAGTCTGGAGGACACGGTTTTCTGTGATGACAACATGACCCACAGCAAAGGAAGGTCTGTCACCTGCAAGACAAGTGGCAGCCCCGGGAGTGGAGGAGGCTTCGTCAATTGGACTTTAAATCTAAACACCATTCAGTCTGACAAGTTTTTGAACTTACTTCTAAGCATGGTGCCAGTCATCTACCAGAAGAACCAGGACGACAGGCATAAGAAAGCCAATGGCCTCTGGCAGGACGGGCTGTCAGGCGGAGCCCAGACCTTCAGCAAGAGGTCAGAGCCACATCTGGACTACCACGAGTTCTCGGAGCAGGCCTTCCATGGTGGCGGTGGGCATGTGCCAGCTAGTTGCAGCCCCAAGTACGACGACTACGCCAGCTATAGCTACTGCGATGGGAGAGAGGCTACAGAAACCACCGCCATGCTGCAGGACGAAGATCTGTCCAGTGAGGGCGATGATGTTATTGTGGAAACAAGCCAGAAGCTCCCGAAGGAGTCCAGCGGGGTCATGGCTCTGCAGATTCTCGTGCCATTCTTGCTGGCTGGGTTTGGAACAGTTTCTGCCGGCATGGTTTTGGACATAGTACAGGTGAGCTTTTGTCTTCGGTTTCGCACACTGTGTGTGTGCCAGAGGCCAACTGTGGGCGTCTTCCTTAGTTGCTTTCCACCTTGTTTTGTGGGGTGGGGTCTCAATTCTGTCTGGAACTGATGGACTCAGCTGGCGGCCAGTGGTGCTCTAGGGGTCCGGCTTGCCTCTGCCTCCTCAGCGTTGGGATTGTACATGTGCCACCATTCTTGGCTCTCCGGGTTTTTAATTGATTGGTTAATTACTTTGAAACAGGAATTTCCACATCATCCAGGCTCTTCTGGAACTCACTGTGTGGACCAGGCTGGCCTTGAACTCACAGAGCTGCCTCTGACTCTGTCTCCCAAGTGCTGGGATTAAAGGTGTGTGACATCACTTTCTTAGGTTCTGAGTATTGAATCTGGGTCCTTAAGCTTATTCACCCCACCCTTCCTCTCCTCCTTTCTCTCCTCCCCTCCCCTCCCCTCCCCACCCCACCCCTCCCCTTCTTTCTCTTTTCCCTTCTTCCTCCATTTTCCTCTCTTTCAATAGGATCTCACTCTCTACCTTTGAACTTGCAGTCTTTCCTGCCTTAGCCCCTCCCCCGAGTGCTAGGATCACAGGTGTGCACACATCTGGCTTGACTTCACTTTTTCTTATTCAAATGCTTTGCATAGGATAACATCTCAAACATGTATCTTTGCAGTGCTGAGAGTGGACCATCACGTGTGGCAGGAGCCTGAGCCGTATCCCCAGCATTCAAGCATTATCTTAGATTTCATGTAGTCCTTGCAAATAAAGTAACTCTTTTACAAACCCCAAAATAAGCCAAGTAAAAGAAAAGCCCAGTCAGCAAGCAGTATTTTGAAATAGTTTATTTTAAAAGAAAATTTCCATATGCTCATTGAAATGTGTTCAAACAATGTAGCGCTAAAATAGGGACTGACTTCTGTTCCTCTCCACACCCACCCCTCCTCCCCTCCTCCCCTCCTCTCCTCCTCCCCTCCTCCACCTCTGCCCCTGCCTCCATTTGTGTGTGGTTCTGGAGATGGTGCCCACGGCCGGCCTCCTGTATGTCAGGCAGGTCCTCAGTCCCCCAGCTCACGCCCCCAGTCTGTTCCCAGTGCCTAAAACATTTTTTTTTGCTTTTGTATTTATTGTGTGTATATATGAGTATGATGGTTATGTAGGGCTTTTCCCTTCCCT